AATTGTCGTCCAGGCGGAGGTCGTGTGGCATGCGCCAGCCGAAGTGTCTGCGTTTCTGGATCGGCTCTCCGCCAATGCTGCTGCAACAGCCGTTTCGAACGAAAGGCTCTTGTTCAGCGACGTCATGAGCGATGTCGTATTTCTGGCCCCGGATTTCGTCGTCGACAGTTACGGGGGCGAATTCGGCGCGGCAGGCACCAACGAAGAGAGCTGTGACGTCGAAGGGGAGGAAGATGCCGACAGAAGCAGCCTCGTACATCATGGCCGTGACGAAGCGACGGCGGGGGCCAGCGAAGCGACAGCAGACCAAATCTTGCAGCAAGTGGCGGAGCATCGTCAGCCTCGTTTGGCTGAGGATACACGGCCCACCAGCGCGAGCCACATTTCCGAAAGCGGGGTCGGTCCGCCGGTTTGGCGTCCCCAGCTGAGTCTACCGCGCCACCGCCCTCCCTTTAGCAGCAGCCAACGGACCCGCACCGACTGTTCACTCCCACCGGCAAACGCATTGTCCGAGATTCCCCCTTCTGCACCTCCGACTCCCACCCGGCGGGAACCCCGCGTTGTCGCGATCCCTGCCCACCGCGCCATACTGGCCTCACGGAGCGACTACTACCTTGCCATGTTCACCTCTGGCTTGATCGAGTCCCTCAGGTCGGTACCCGCACTGGCGCCGCCGGCCCCACTCACTCCGATGCTCACTCAGCCCCTCCTCCCACCCGCCTCCTCGCTGGTGGAAGCTTCAACCTTGTCGTCCTCATCCCAATCGACTTCAGTAACACTCCTTGAATCCCCGACGTCAACGCTCTCGTCTCCTAGTTGCACCGCGCCACTCCATCCATTTCCATGGACTTCCCAGCAGCGTTCACCGCAAACCCCTCTCACAACGTTAATGGATCCCATGCCGCAAGCCTCACGGCCATCCGTTAACCTCCCGCAGCCCTCGCCGTCGCGCTCGTGGGCCGGGGGCACCAGCATAAGCGATCACTGGGTGCCGGGGACCTGGCGGGGCAGGGAGGTAGGAGGGGGAGGATTCGCAAAAGGTGTAGGAGGGGTAGGAGGAGGAGCAAGCGCAGGTGGAGGAGCTGGTGAAGGAGCAGTCCCGAAACGTATGGAAAGCGTGGGCGCCCCTCGAGAGCCGCAAACAACGAGTTTGAGTAGCAGCAGCACCGGCCCCAGCGGGCCCGCAGTAGTCCGAGTGACAGACTTTTCGGCAGCTTCAATCAGGTGGATGCTCGAGTTTCTATACACAGGGGGAATCCGGCATAAGCCGACCACCCGAGCCCAGCGGTATGAGCTGTTACGACTTGCGGACCGTTACCAGGTAAGCTCTTCAACCCCTTGGCAGACTTTATTCTCCCTTGGCGTGCCCAAACTGAAACGAAATTCTTAAAGTTAGGAGGACTGCACGATCACATCGCGTCCCTCATATGCGACGCGGACCTAACGCTCGAGACTATGACCGAGATACTCGAGCTCGGAGACCGCTACGGCTCGGCGTCTCCGGCGCTGCGGACTGCGTGCCTGGGGTTCATCCGCGACAACGCCGCAAAGCTGAAGGCATCCGAGTCCTTTAAGGCGTGGGTGCGCTCCACTGATCGCCGGGACCTGCTGCTTGAGCTGTTCACGCTCCTGTAAATGCTCGGATGCTCGGTCGCCCAGGTGCCTCCCAGGACCAGTGTGACTTTCAGCCTTTCTTCTCGGCAAGCGCTGATACAAGGAGTCAAAGCGAACATTGAAATTGGCGTTTCTGCAAAACGTTTCCAATCTTCCCGCCACCGTTCATCCCGTTTGCCTCTCCCCCTCCTCCTCCTCGTCTTCCGTACTCCTCCTTCCTCGCTTCGTCTCCCCACCAATATTATCGTGTAAAACCCCCCGCAGTATGTGCGTATGTAACCTTTCGGCGTTGGTTTCTATTTCCTTCAAATTTTTGCTTCCTGCTTCCGTATTGTTTTGTCTGCTGCTCTTCCCTCGTTCCCTTACGCGAAGCCTCTCCCACTCATCTCTCATTTTACGACTATTTTTGCAAATTCATTCTTTCGATACAGCGCTGGCCCGTTGCGCTCGCAACGCCGCATTATCATTTTTGTTTCTGTTTCGTCTCTTACTTGCAGTAGTTTATTTTGATATGTTTTTCTCTTGCTGGTTCCCCCGAAACCCTTGCCCCTTTTGCCACCGTGTTTCGCTTATCTTTTATATCCACACCCCCTCCCCCCTCCCACGAAGCACCCACACTTTTCCCATTTTAGGTTGTGTTGCCTGTTCCGTCCCCCAGTGCCTGCCGTGCTTACACCCGAACCCGCCGCCGCCCACGTTATCTTTATTTCAACCTAACTAAAACCCTCCCCCGTGCCGCCTAAAGAAAGGAAAAAGGAAACGTAAAAGAGAATAGGCTACCCCTCGCTTGAAGGCTCGTAAAGAGCTGGCCCACCCACACCCATTTTTTTTTCGTTTTGATGTTGGGGAATGTGATCAGATCATGCAAGGGTGTTCTGCGCCTGACAAGTTTGTTCTTTTGCAAGCAAAAAACGCAAAAAAAAAAAAACAAAAAAAAAAAAAAAAAGAAACCACGCATGCCCAGCAGCAGCAGAAGGAAGCGTTGTCGCCGACCCGTCCCGGCGGACCACGACGACGACGACGTCGACGATCGTCCCAACGACGACGGCGAGGACGAGGACGAGGGCGACGACGATGGCGAAAGAAGAAGCCACGGCAGCAAGAGAAACTCCAACAGCAGCAGCAACCGCACATCGCCGCCGACTCCGCCGACGCCGGAGCCGGCAGCCTCGTTCCGCCTCTCGATCGACGGCACGCCGATCGTCGCGACCGCAACGACCGCGATCCCGTACAACTACTCGCCTTTGCCTTTGCCGTCTTCCCTGCTACCGCTTGCTTCTTCCCACCACCACGACGGCCACGATCACTTCCAGCGTCTCCGCGCGCAGCTCGCGCGCGACGGGTACCTGCACCTCCGCGGCGTGTTCCCGCGCGCCCAAGTGTCGCGCGCGCGCCGCGAGGTGCTCGTGTTCCTGCACGCGCACGGGGCGACACCCGCGCGCGGGTCGGCGACGGCAGCGGTGGCCTCCATCGGCGGCATGGGCGGCGGCGGCGGCGAGGCGGCGCGGGGGTTCTCGCTGCTGGAGCGGCAGGCGGCGGCGATGGCGGCGAGCCCGTCGCTGCGGCGGTTGGTGCGCGGGGACGGGGTGTTTGCGCTGTTTGCGGGGTTGTTTTTCGGGGGCAGCGGCGAGGGCGAGGGCGACGACGACGGGGAGGGTGGGGAGGGTGGGGAGCCGGCGGCGGGGTCGTCGCCGCTCGTGCGGCGCGGGGTGCGGACGATCGCGCAGACGTGGCTGCGGGCAGTGCCTCCCGGGCGGTGCACGGGTGCCCACTTTGACCGAGCGTACCTGGGCAACGGGTCGCAGCGGCTGCTGACTCTGTGGATGCCGCTGGGCGACGTGCGGCCGGCGGACGGGTCGCTGTGCGTGGTCCGCGGGTCGCACGCGCTGAGGAGCAGGCCTAGCTCCGGCGGCGACGACGGGCGACGGCTGGCGGAGCTGCTGGACCCGCACCGTGGGCGGCGGGCGGGGGCGGACGGCGCGGCGTCGGGCTACCTTCCTGCGGCGGTGGTGGCACGGGTGGGCGCTGCGGGCGGCGAGTGGGTGGTGCCGGCGCCGGCGTGCCGCATGGGCGACGCGGTGGTGTTTGGGCTGGACGTGCTGCACGCGACGGCGGTGAACGAGTCGGGCGAGTGGCGGCTCAGCTGCGAGACGCGGTGGCAGCCGGCGTGCGACGCGTACCCGCCTTTCTACCCCCCGGCGGTGACGGCAGCGGCGGCATCTGCTGGCGGTGGAGGTGGTGGTGGTGGTGGTGGTGCTTCTTCCAGTACTTCCGCGTCTCCGTAATGTGTTGTTCTTGTTCTTGACGACTGCATTCTTGTGGTTCTTGTTCATCTTTCTTATTGATAGCTTCTTGTTCTCACATAGTATGATTATTATAACTATTGCACAACTATTTGTTGCTTCTTCGTCTTCTACTTCTTCCGCGGTGGGGTGGTATCACGTGTGGGAAAGGATAGGGCCCAGCAGCAGCAGTAGCAAAAAGCAGCCGCCGCCCGGTCTTCAGTGCGTACGGGAGCAGCAGCAATGCAACCAGAAAGAGGCGTGTGACCGAGACAAGCGAGCAACAAAAAGCTTTGCTCGGACATGAGTGTGTTTTTTCAATCTTCCTTCACCTAATCTCACCCTCAGCAACGTAACCACATGATCGTCACCGACGTCCGCTTGAAACAGAATCTACTGCACCTCTTGCTGGCGCAGGAAACCCTGGAGGTAATATCTCTCACTTCCCTCTCCGTTCGAAGCGTAACACTATCCTGACGTCCTTCAAACAGCTCGGGAGAAGCGTTTTTTTCAGCAATTTTGTTTTTTTTTCTCCTCATTGCCCTTCCTCCACCCTCGCTTCGAGGAGCAGGGAAAAGGCCAACAGCTTCTTATACTTGTGTTCCAAATACTCTGTTTGTGTGGGCATATGGCGAAATGGTTACCGCGTTCGACTTCGGATCGAAAGATTGCAGGTTCGAGTCCTGCTATGCTCGTGTCCTGCAGCAGGTATCTGGTGCCATCAGGTGCGGCAACGGTATCAGAGCTTTGGGACCACACTTTAGTGACAGTCATTATGGTGATTCAACACGAAAAGGTCTCGCTGTCTTGCTGGAAAGTTGAATACTTTTGAGCTTCTAACTCCCAATAGCTGAGCAACCCAAGGAAATGTCGGGAAAGTTGGAAGAACAATTGAAATAATTGGAAATGGGCCGACCGCTGACAAGGTTCAATGGCTGGGGCTTAGGCACCGTTTGACCCACAATTTTTGGCCTTTCAGCAATAGTTTTCTTGTGTGAATTCAACAACAACTACTTTGACGTGGCATTTCAGATCAGTCAATCATTTTCACTCTTATTGAACAATTTTTTTGCTAAGATCAGCAAGCAGAACGTCATCTGAAAAGCTCTGTTAACTCAGTTGGTTAGAGTGTAGTGCTAATACGATCACTTCTGGAGTGGAGATACGCTAAAGTCAAAGGTTCGATCCCTTTACAGAGCATGTGAAGGAGTTGCCTGACTCATTCTTGAGCTGGTCAAGTTGACATCTCTGATTTGACTTATGTAACTGGCTTTAGTTGCAGTCTGCTGATAGGACCACCTCAAAGGGCAACTGGATTTGACCAAATATCTCATAGTGGCAAGCACCACTCGCTGGAAAAGTCACAGGCGATCAAGAAAGGGCCGGTCCAGAAGACAATTTTCGATTCAAAGATCACAGTTGCTCGCGTCCACGACAGACAAACGAGTGCCCACCGGTTCTACAGCAGTCTCCTGCAGTGACAGACGCAATAGCATTGAGCAAACCATAAATAATAATAAGCCTACGAAGCGTTGAAATGAAGTCAAAGAACAGTGGTTCAACGGTGTGTGCTGCGATTGGGATGGGAGGGAGGGGTTACAGGCAGGTGGTCCCTTAGGAAAGTGGAACTGTGCAACTCAAATTGCGCTTGCAGTTTGAACAGTAACGTTGCAAGAGGAAGGGTCTAACAAGAATTGAATCAAATGGGAGAAAGCCAAATCTGCATTCGATTCGAAAGAATCAAATCATAGCATGTAATTTTTTTTTCTAAACTTGACCATTTCGACACAATTTTAGTAATTTCAATTGCCTGTTTGATTTGAGGCTGGCATGCTGTTGTGTAAACAGTCTACTCTAAGTGAGTGAGTGGAAGGAGTGAATGAAGTGGAGATGTGTGTTTGTGGGTGGTCCTTCTACCCAACTTGGAGAGAAAGAGAAAAACTCTGTTATGAATTATTGATACATACTGATGTTATGCACGCTATAATAGTTGCTAGGCAAGCATGACAGGCACAGTGTAAAAACCTCTCCTATATTATCTGCTTGAGCAGAGGAGGAGGAAAACTGTTGACACCAAGTTTCCATTCCACTTAATACTCAGAGTATTTGTCATCAGAGCAAGCCAGTGCCCAGGTCTGCATTGGCGGTGGCTCACTCTCCCATGGGCATCTTGAGAACGATAACTGACAGTCACAATAGGTTCAGGTCTGTCTTGTGCCTCTTGCTGCTAACCAGTCAGTTCCGCCTAACACATCTAAAAGAGAAACATAAGAAAAGTGTGATGAGGGTGGCACAATCACAAAAGAAAGTGCAAATGCCTCTGGTCCAAGACACAGAGAAACCCCAATGGCAAAGTCAAAGGGACTGAATCACTCAGTAAGGAATGAGACTCAGGGCAGCAAAGGGGGCGCCTAAGGCAGCACCAACCAATCTGTGCCAGCTCCTTCCCAAGGCAGAAACCAAGGGGGAAGACAAGAGAGCAGGGAGGAAAGTCTTGCGCCTCCAGCATTGTTACCAGATTTCCCGGTCCCCTTTGGCTTTGGGCTTTGCCTCCCATTGTTCTTACTCTGTGTCATGGACCAGAGAACCCTGCACATTCTTTGCTGGTGTGCCACCTTTTCACAGTTGCCTTTGGTCTTAGTGTGAGATTCTTCTCTTTGTGTGTAGTAAGAGGGTTTCTTTATGTTTCTTGGGCTTCTTAAGACTCCAAATACATTGTCCTGTCTAGTGGCCCCAAGAAAACTCCTTTTTGCCCACTTTCACTTTTCAGGATTGGTATTTAGGTCATTGCTCTATTTGCCACCCATTGCCCAGGGTGAGGGTTTAGAGAGCAGAGTCTCACACAACTCCCTCACACAAGTGCGACACCACGACATCACAGGCATTAATCTGAGAGAAAGAGGGTCTGAACCCAGTGAAGACCAGGCCCACCAGAGGCCACAGGAGCCAACACACAGGGAGAAGGGGACATACCTGAGCGACTATTCCTACAGCAGTTCCTGACCAGCCACCTCATTCATATCATCTTGAGAGACCTGGATTTGACGCATGCAGAATGGTGAATTGCACTGGGGATTGAACCCAACACACTGCCATGATGGCCAAGAGGAGCACCTCCTGTCACACACCAGGGGACTGCAACTCCCAGCTCATACACACAGTCAGGAAGGAAAGGGCAGGCAAGGGACTTCAGGAGGCACAGTTCACACAGTCAACAAGAAGCGAGGCAGCAGTTTAAATAGGAGGGTTGGAATCACAGGGAGGAGAGGAAAAAGGAAGGAAAACACATAAAACAACAAAACAATAAGTAAAGCAGTAAAGAACAAGATGGGAGGGTGATTCACCAAATGGGGCTGAGCCATCAAACAAAGAGAGACAGCTCAGAGAATCATGGGGCCATTTCTTGGCAGAGAGCCACCAGAGCAGGTTTGGACGCTCTCCGCTCTCGAGGCTACGACCTGCCTTGGACCGCTCACCCATCTGCCCATCCAAACATATCTCCCATTAGACAATAGCGTGCTATTGGCTGTTCCTCAAGTCAGTGTATCATGCAGGTTGCCAATAGACCAAGGAGCTCCAAACAGCTGTCAACAGTTAATGGCAGCGGAACACTCTAGCATTCCAAAGCAGTCAATTTCTTCTTAACTGACACCTTCTTTACAGGTCTTTAGCAAAGAATACAAGTTGATAGGGTCCACAACGGACTGAACCACAATTCGGACTCAATCCGACTTGACTCTCTGGACTCAAATGACAATTTCCAGAAAGTCGGACGTTTGAAGCCCACAAATTGCTGATTTTTCATTGCTTCGCGCCGAATTTGAATGAAATTCGAAAATTTTACTAATTAAAGTTTGAAAAATTGAATACAAATGCCGAATTTCCACAAGTAAGTCTGATTCAATCGCAATTTGATTTGGCAAATCAAAACCTGAATCTTTGCCAGGTCTGGTCTGATTTGGTCCGTGGCGGACCCTACAAGTCGACACCAACACTTACACCCAGGCAAACCTGACGTTTTTGGTTAGAAAATTTGTGAACCCTATCCTTAAAGCAATCCTAAACGGAGTACAGCTGGAGATTTTCACCTCTATCCTAACCGCAAAAATAGCGGTTTAGGATAGGATTGCAGTTTAAACCAAGGTCTGTCAATCATTTGCAGCAGAGGCATGGCTTACAGGATGTGGGCCTGTCTCGTAACCTTCATCAGCCTTTCTTCAAGGTCCCAACTGCGGAGAGCGCTTTCCACATTCATCAGTATTCTGATATCTGAAACCAGGTTAGTTGTCTGGATGGACACCGTTTGCAGCATTCGATCTGTTGCATGATGGAAACATTCCATTGGTTCCCCTTACTCGGAGAATTGATATCAGCAGTGCGCAACCACACTCTCCCACACACTTGTCTCGTCGTCCTTGGCACTCTTCCATCCTTCAAGGCGGCTTCTGTCCTTGTTGCCCTAGGAAGTAGAAAGAAGCACACATCTTTGCAGTCATCTCATCTGCATGACCATTGTTGGCATTCCACTGAGATCCAGCTGCCCAGCAATTTGGTATGCCCATGCCTTCCTCCTTACACATCTCCACCTGTCTTCAGACACTGAGTATTGGCAGTACTATACAATAACAATGCAGGAGGGATGGCTGGCCTGCGGCACGTTTGTTAGCTCTGATCATAGCTCACTTGGAGCGCATGACTGTAATGGTTACTGCCTGGGGACATCATTAGGTCCCCTATTCGAACCTGGGTGGTTGGATGCTCTTACTTGGAACCAGGCACTCATTTGATCGTTGCAGGATCCTACGACAGGCCTGCCTGCAAATTGCGCTGCAGATTTGTGTGAGACTACACTGAGGTCTCAGTGATAAAGTCTAGGGATTTTATTCGCAAAAACAAGTGTACCTGTCATAAAACCGCAAGGATCGGGACCCCTATTATTGTTCCTGGTTCTTTAGTTTCCAAAGTGTTATCAAAGTGTATTTGCAGCTAACCCATCTTTATTATTGGGCCTGCTTTTACTACTTTTGTCTTAACAGTTTCCGTTGCACCAGGGTTTTCTCAACATACTTCTTTTTCAGTGACTAACGGAGACTGCCTGACTGCCTAGGGGTGGGCTGACAGGCCATACCCCAAGCCTGCCAAATTTATTATTTATTTTTGGCACTTGTACATACACACATAGGGTTGGGAGGGACTTACAGCATTTGTGGCGGATACTCCAATTCAGGGGGGTTGACTTGTCAATTTTCTCTCTGTTTTTGGGCCATTTCTCTTTTTCCTTTTTTCTTCAATCTGATTTCTGTCCTTTGGCACCAATACAGAGTCCCTTCAAATCCATCTGGCTCACAACAGCAAGGGTAGTGAGAGGTGGTACACACCCAGGTGAGTACATGGTCCCTTCGGGGGCTCCTCTTAAGGTGCTGCAGGTGGGGAATGCAGCTGGCCCCACCACCGACTGTGTGACACTGCTGGCTCTGTGTTGGAGTGAGGATCATGGCCACTCGCATGCTGCAACAACAGTTGTGGTGGTGGCAACAACGACAGCGTCGTCGTCCCAAACCTTCCCGTCCCCGCAAGGGGGTGTTGGTGGCTGTGCCTGGTGCGGCCCCTGACACCTGAGAGTTCGATCTACGAGTGCCTGCCTCGGCCCTATTGCTGTGAGAGTGAGATGTGTGAGTACGAGTGTGATGCAATAAAGCCCGATGGTCAAGTGATTGTGCCAACGCAGCCCAGCAGGGTGCGTGTATGATCGCAGGTGTTTCCACGTGCGAGTTCCCTGCTGGTGACCTTCTGACCCCTTCTCTCTCTCCCCCCCGTCGCTGGTGACGACGAGGGCTCCTGCAGCACCGTCCACGATGAGGGGCGCTAGGTCGCACCCTGTCCGTCCCGTCGCTATTAACCGCTCCTGTTGTATTTGAGATTAGGTTCCTGAGATAAAAACCCCTGTTTCCCTCTTCTCTCTCTTTATCCTGCAGTTGTGTTGCACCCTCGGGAGTGCCCTTCTGTTTCCCCTCACATCAGCCTGTGGCCACACAAGTAATCGGTGCTCTGGCACCAATCCCTCAGAGGATTGTCCCTCTGAATGTTCATTCTTTGTGCTTGAGACCCCTGTTGGACAGGTCAGTAGGGATACTTTGTGGACTAGGCAAGTAGTAGGGTTGAAACACCCCCTAGACAACAGCCCAATAAAGTTAGTTTTA